CCCCAAAACCCCAAAACCCCAAAACCCCAAAACCCCTGCAGGGTATAAAATAATTGAAACACAGCAATATGTTCAGAGTGTTACAGTCAAGTAAGCAAATTCCTTAAACATTCCTAATTTATAGCCCAAAATGACGACGTGAAGAAAGTCAACCGTATAAGTTACAAGAAGACTTATAATGGTAAGATTTTATAGTCATCCTGTAGGGATAATAAAGGTTTTGGATGAGCAATACATCTCAAAGATGTCATGTGGAATCAAAGATAATTTAGGATGGGAAGAAGGTGACTCCGCTGGGGTTAGCAAGGGTACTAGCCTTACGCTTGGCAGAAGAGATGATGATGCTGTTCATGAGGGCATGAAAGATGAAGAGGATGTGGACTATAAAGTGATTTATCTGCTCGACTATTCGTTTGTGCAGAATCAGATTGATTTAATTGATCAATACGACGAATTAAGTAATTGTGTCATCCTCAAATCAACTCATGAGAGTATTATGGCAGGTAAGAAACCAAGTAGATTATATAATGTTGAATTCTACTCCTTATCTCACTAATTTCGCTTTGATACAATAATTTTAAGTTGAGTTCGCCTTCTAGCTGTTTTAAACCATTTTATAGGCCCAAACAGAATGGCAGCTTTCAACAAGTGGAACATTATTCAAGATATCATTGAGAATCGTGATTATAGACATTTCTTCTACTTTTACGATGAGAATCATGAGAGTACTTATTTCAGTGAGAAGGAAGTTGAGAAATATCTTTGTGGGAGAAGTAAGGATTTCAAGAACCGTCTCAAAGCGTTGAGAGCACTGGTATTTTACAACATTCACCTTCGCGAGGTGCTTGATGAGGACCACAAGGTTGTACTCCTGACTGATTCCAATTTAAAGCAAGGTTTATCTGGAAATTCAGGCTATGAAGAACTGCTCAGTGACGAAGATGGTGACATTAATTACGGAAAACTGTTCGCAGGCCAAGAAGCCTGGAGCCAGATCAATTTGAACATTATGACTACAGATGAGTTCATAAGTCAGCAGAAAGATGATAATGTGCTTATGGATTTCACCAAGAAAGACTTGTCTGATGACTTCAGAGATGAACTAAAATACACTAAAGCACTTTATCCTGACCATGTTGACTCCAGCACTCTGATGCTTCAGATCAAACAAGGACAGTACTTCCTTGGCCGTCTTCAAGTTAGCAGGTTCGACATCACCGAAGCGACAATCAAGATTAATGGAATCACCAACGACGTGCTGATCAGAGGAAAACACAACTTAAACAGAGGCCTTAACATGGACATGTGCGGAATTGAGATCCTTCCTGAAGATCAGTGGGAGCAGAAAGGCAACAGAGTCGACGCAGTAGTCACAGATCTGCTCGAGAAAGAAATGGATGTCGACGTTAAGCAAGACAGCGACAGCGAAGAAGAAAACGAAGAAACCTTAAACATCGTTGAGAAGATCAACCAGAGCACAAAGCAGCCAATGGGTAAGGTGGTAGGAGTAATCCAGGGCGGAGCCAATTCGAAGAACCAAGGCACCAAGACTTACGCTGGGTCAACAATAGCATATAAGGACTTGTTGGAAGAGGATAAAGCGCTATTTGATCACATTGATGTTGAATGATTTGAGAAAAATTATCGCATCTTTATTCCATTTGATGTGAGAATGGAAAAAGTTCTGATAAAATCCTCTAGACCAGAATTTCTTGATGACAAGAGAATTGTTGTAAAAGTTGATGGCTGGGATGCCCACTTACCATATCCTTATGGCCATATTGTAAAAATTATTGGTGAAATGAATGACTCAAAGACTGAAAGTGCTGTGATTTTACATGAGTTCAATATCGATACAAGACCATTTTCTAAGAAAGTTCTTGACTGCTTGCCAACTAAGGGAGATAAATGGGAAATTCCAGAAGAGGAAGAAGCAAAAAGGTTAGACCTTAGAGGACTTAATATCTGCTCGATTGATCCTCCAGGCTGTAAAGATATAGATGATGCATTGCACTGTATTACTCTCCCAAATGGAAATTTCCAAGTTGGAGTTCATATTGCAGATGTCACCCATTTTGTGAAACCAGGAGCTGAAATAGACAAAGAAGCAGCTAGAAGATGTACGACTGTATATCTCGTAGAGAAAAGAACAGACATGCTTCCTGGTTTATTGACTGAGAATTTATGCTCCCTTAGAAGCAAAGTTGATAGGCTAGCCTTCTCTGTGATATGGGAAATTAACTCCAAAACATTTGAAATTGTCAAAGTTGATTACCACAAGACCATCATAAGGTCAGTAGCTTCCTTGACATACAAAGATGCACAAGGAATGATTGAAGATGAGAAAGATCAGAGCGAACTGACTCTTGGAATTAGAAATTTGATGAAAATAGCAGTCAATTTGAGAAGGAGAAGAAATGAAGCAGGAGCTTTAACTCTGGCTTCTCCAGAAGTCAGATTCAATTTAGATAGGGAGAGTCTGAATCCAACTGATGTGGCACTATATCAACATGTTGACACTAATTTCTTGGTTGAGGAATTCATGCTTCTTGCAAATGTTGCAGTTGCTTCAAAGATAGTAGATTCGTATCCTGCGTACTCTGTTTTGAGAAGACATGAGAGCCCAAAAGTTAAAGAACTAGACGAGTTCAAAAAGTTGTTAGCTAAATTTGGATTCCAAATTAACTCTGAATCATCTAAAGCTCTTGCAGAGTCTTTAGACTCAGCAGATAGGCCAGCTGATCCTTTGTTCAACAAAGTCATCAGAATTCTAGTCACTAGGTGCATGAACCAAGCTTTGTACTTCAACACTGCTGATTTTGAAATGGCTGATTTTCATCATTATGGTCTGGCTGCTCCATTATATACTCATTTTACTTCTCCAATCAGAAGATATGCAGATGTACTAGTTCATAGACTTTTAGCTGCTTCTTTAGATCTCTACTCTCTTCCAAATCAGATGACTGATAAGGAGAAGGTGTCAAAGCAGTGTAACACAATGAATCGGAAGAACAGGATGGCAGCTCTGGCCAGCAGAGCTTCATCAGAGTTCTACACTTATAAATTCTTCAAAGACAAGGAGAATTATGTTGAAGAGGCCATGATCCTAAAAATCTCTCCTGCTGGGATCCATGTGATTATCCTTAAGTACGGTATTGAAGGACTCCTCGAGAACATCGTTGGCGAAGTAGAAATCCAGCCAGATCCAGAGAACGAGAAAGCCCTTATCAACGACGAAATCGAAGTTAGAACATTCCAGCACTGTAAAGTCAAGATCGTCAGCCAAATGATCGACTACAGGAGGTCAATGGCTCTTAAATTTATCGAGTTACTCTAAAAAGGCAATAATGGGTTTATAGAACGCAATTTTAGATTTCTCTCTTGGGGTTTTGGGGTTTTGGGGTTTTGGGG